AGCCACGTGGCAATACACAGATTAATAGAAATGAGTTAAATTAATATGTAAGAGTTAGCCAATAAGAAGCTAGAGCTAATGGGCCAAGCAATGTTTTAAATAATATAGTTTCTGTGTGATTATTTCGGGTCTGAGCTGCTGAGCAGTCTGGAACTCACTAGTGGTCTCCTTACAACAACAAACCAAATAATCCAATTAAAAACAGAATACGCGTCTAAAAGAGAATTTTCCACAGAGGAAACTCAAATGGTCAAGAAACACTTAAATACAAGTGACAGCCCATGCTGGCGAGGATGTGGAGCAAGGGGAACACTCCTTTATTGCTGTAGGAATACAAATTTGTACAGCTGCTTTGGAAACCAGTATGGTGGTTTGTCAGAAAATTGGGCATCTATTTACCTCACTCATAATTGGATATTAACTGTAAAGCAAAGGTAACTATGGTACAACCCACAGACCAAGAGAAGCTAGGTAACAGGGATCACTGAAGGGGAGATGCATGGATCTCCCTGGGAAGGGGAATAGATTTGGGGGTCCAGGGTGATGGGAAACAGGAGGAAATAGGTGTGGGAGACAGAGGACGAGAGTGCTGGCTGAAATTGGGGGGCATTTGTGGGGAGAGGTAGAAACCCAGTGCAGAAGAAACTCCCAGGAATCTATGAGGGTGAACCTAGCAAAACTCCAGGTACTGGGTCACGCAGAGCCTGAATCTGCCATCTTCTGTAACCAGGCACGACCTCCGGTGGAAGGACTGGGACACCAATGCAGCCACAAAATCTTTGACCTACAATTTGTCCCTGCAAGATGTGCTGGGGTGAATGTGGTACAGAACCTGTGTGAACGGCCGGTCAAATGGCCGGTCCAACTTGAGAGCTCCCTCTCATGGCACAGAGAGAATTGACTCTTGCAGACTGTTTCTGACCCCCAACACGATCCTCACATTAACAAAATTTTAAAAGTTAAAAAAAACAATAAGAGTTGCTTACTACTTGACTATTAATGATTTGGGTGGGGTTTTTTTGGGTATTAGTTCAACAAATATGGGTATGGGATGTTTTCTATAAAGACTTCATGCGGATTGTATAGGACTGAAACAAAAACCACAGGGAGACACAGGACAATGTAAGAAGCTTCTTGTGTTTATTGTCTGTGATTTACAATTGATAGAGCAAAGGAAGGTGCATTAAGAGCTATTTGACAAAGTCAGGTTCCAGATATGCACAATGCTATTTTCCTGGAGCCCCCGGGGCCCCACACCATGCCTGCGGCCACACTCAGCAAAGGTGGCCCAGACACATGCAACCCTCTCCAGATGTCAAGCTGGTGTGAGAAGCACTCACTACTGATTATGCACTAGGAGCCTGAATACTGTGTAACCCATGTCTTCACTATGGGCGAGGTTCTTGTGAGCCTCCTCCAAGCATCTTCCCTTGACAGAGTCTGACCATTTGTGTCAGACCAAGGGCAAGAACAAGACTAAAAAAAACAAAACCTACTTACCTAACACTGGTCATTAATGTCTAAGGATTTAAACCTAAGGCTATTTACATAAGATTTGGGATCTTCAAAATTCAGGGCAATTTTAATTCTGAGTTTAAGAAGACTCTCCTAATTGGTGACAGGACACTCAGAAGTACCTGAGAAATAATCACAGAAAATCCTGAAGGAGAAAACATCTGGTTTTCCCATGTGCGCACGAAAGCACACAAAACAAAAACATGAACAGTATACCCGAGCGAAATAGTTCCACGGAGGAAGAACCTGCGGGAAGGCTCCAGGTCCTACTACATTTTAGAGACAGCCTGGTCTAACGGATTCTCAATAACAAAAATAATTTTAGGTGCAAACTTCAAAGTCACCAAAGCCCAGTTTTAAGACAGGATTCACTTGCAGGGATAAGCATGCACCGGGGCACAGTTCCTGTGTTCTGCCAGAACATCAAAATCAACTCAATGTCCAAAAACTCGTCTGGATTTCTTTAACCAGACACGCTCACCCGGTGCTAAGGCACCACCCTGCCTCCAACGGTCACTCAGCACTATAGGAGAACTCTCAACACAACGTCACAAAGGCTAGCCAACTTATGGTGGTTTATGTGACATCTATGAACCTGGTTATGGAACACTCTACCTCCCTGACAAGCCCATGCTTCCCTCCTTCCTCCTGCTCCTTCTTTGGAAGCTGTGAAGGTTCAAGCGACGGACGTGTCCTTCCTTCAAAGCCTGAAGCTTTTGCTGAGGGAGGCATTCAGTTATTGAGAGACTAGAAAAGCAAATGTTTTTTTTTTTTAAAAAAAACTGAATTGGACTATTTAGGAAACAGAAAGACCAGATATTCTTGTTTGAATGCCTGTGTGTGCGAGGTCGCTGCTAACCTGGAGTCCTTCGTTGACGTGTGCGTGACGATCTATTGACAGCAGCTAGACCAGGTAAAGGGTGACCAAGGGAGGGGACATCTTTCCACCCTTGGTTGTTGAGAAATTTATTTAGAAAAGTTTTATTACATTCTAGAAATATAGAAAGCTCATGTGTCCCTTTACCATCATGGATTTTGGTTTTATGTATTTATTTTTTTAACCCTTTGAGTGCAGCTCTTCTTGGGGAGGAGGTGAGAGAGACAGAGAGAGAGAGAGAGAGAGAGAGACAGAGAGAGAGAGAGAAGGAAGCAACTCTCTGTGGGAATGAAGAATTCCTCTCAAGTAGAGTATTTGCCAGTTAAGCACCAAGAGGACCAAGGGAGAGACTTCCTGCTTTCACAGACAGAACAAGGAGTTCCGTCTTCTCCTCACATGTGAGGTTCTCTCCTGAAGGATCCCTCAAGACAAAGCCATGGCCCTGCCACCTTAGAAAGGAGAGCTTTCTTCCCAACTCAGGGCCGCCTCGCACTGCCAAATCCCGGGACCCATCTCTAGGCCTCTCTAGTCTTAGCCACAAGCAAGGTCCTTCTCTGCTTCTTCAGGTGCCAAGAACTAGGCAGCTGTTTTTACTGACACGAGGAAAACAACGGAATCTGACAAACACTTGAGCCAGCGCCTGGGTTTCACTTCAGTTTATAATTTAATGTGCCTGAGAATTTTTGTGCAAATACATGTCATCTTTCATTAAAAATATGCATAGCACACTTTGGAAGAAGTTAGTTACGACTAACTTTTCTTAAAGATTTACAGATATAAATACACAACATAATCTAAGTACTACTGATTGCACTTCTGGTCTAAGCCTTACGGCCTCCAAGGAAATCTGAGAAACATGCATTATGTTTGCATTCCTTGGCCGCCATATTATCCAGAAGAAATATCCTGAAGAGCTGTCTTGATTCCCACTTACCCCTATTTTCCGTCCTAAATCCCTCCCAAGCCCGTTCACATGGTTATTTTTTAAATTTTTGTTATGTTGTACAAAAATACAAGTTTTAAAAAACTGAAGTTTTAGTAATTGTAAATACAAAGCAATCGGGGTGGAGTTTGGCTCTCTGTGTCTGAGAGTGTTTTGAAACGAGAAAGTCTCCACTTTTGAAGCAAGGGACAGAACTCCTTATTTTGCTAATGCTGTGAGCGCACCATTGGACGGGTGCACAATTTGACTGGGCATCGGCGGGGAAAGCGCCTGCAGTCCCAGTAGCAGACAATACGCTGAACAACCCTCTGGGACAGCCGAGCCGTTCCTGGCTCTTCCTGCTTGTGTTCTCTAGGGACCGAGGGGCCAGCAGTTCAGTATTACTGTCGTGTTTGATAGGGCTGGGTTTGTTTTTCTATTCATTTTTTATTTTCAAGGCAAGGAAACTCAGCTGAAGAAGCATGCTAACCCTTCCTTCCATTTCCATCTCCGACCTACCCACGTCCCCACTTCCTGTTTACGACTCCGTCCTCAAAGACCTCATCCAAATGCCTCCATCCCCCCTCCACGACACCCTCCGCACTTCCGCAGCCCTTCTGCGACATGCCTTTGCTCTCCTTAGCCAGTTCCCATCCTCAGTGCATCCCTCTCCTTCATGTGCTAATAATTTATACGTGAGGTCAGTCGGTGCTGAGCCTCAGTCTTCCTTCAGGATTCCCATCTTGGGTGCGGTTGTGCAAACTGGGGCTCCGAAGCCGCCCATCATGACCGGAAGGCTCTGATTCCTCCTCAGTCCACCTAGTAAACTGCCACTTGAATTTAAATAAACAGCAGACTCTGGTTTTGGAAGACCCGTTTCTGCCTCTCGGCTTTTCCCATTCTCCTGGGGATCGGGGGTCTTGATCGCTCTGGCTATGCCCAGTCTCTTCAGCCTGTCTACCAAGTTCATCTTCAGCTGCCCAACATCCGGAGCGGTCCTTGAAGGTCTTAAGCCATACATTTCCTGCAGGAATGTTTCAGCTGGTCGGGAAGCCAAAAAGTTCTCGGAAGCGTGGACTCGGGGTTCGAAGGGCAAGGGTGAGGAGCACGGTGACTGCGACGGGGAGTTTGGTGGTGTGGAAGGGGTGGCCAGGGCCTTGGGGCGAGGCCGCAGAAGCGGGATTTCTGAAGCCGGGCTGTGGTACACCTTAGCAGAGATGCCTCGCTCCTGCAGAAGCTTCGCTAGGCTCCGCGTGCTACTGAATGTTATGGTGGAGTCGCGCCGGTTGGTGATGGATTCACCAATGCTGAGCCGGTAGGACATGGCAGGGGAGTTCACAGCCGGGCTGGAGGAGCTGCTCCCACCACTTCCACAGGACAGTGACGGGAACCCGGAGCTGGAAGAAAAGAGGGCACATGCTTAGGGATCAGAAACTCCAAGTCAGCACTTAGTGTTTACGGTTTGCTCTGCTCCATCAAGAAAAATGTACCAAGGAAGCAATAAAGTGCTCAGCCTTGTATGGAAAGCAACCTTTCATCTGCACGGGGGATGACCAGCCAGCTGGGTTCTAAAGGTAGCCTTTCCAACTTCATTTCACTGAAAAACAGTCTAGTTGCTAAACTGCCATTTTCTCAGCCAGTATTAACCCTAAACAACAGTAAAACATGGGTATCCATGAACAGCACTTTCAGTTTCGCTTTGGAATGTACATTTTTAAGAAATTAAAAATAATGAAAAGCTTTGACAGCCACTAGACCTTGCTTCTTATTCGATGCTTAGTTAAGAAAAAGCTAAATAAGTCATATTTACAGTCATGGTAGGATGGAACCCAGGTCCTCTAGAAGAGTAGTCAGTGCTCTTAACCGCTGAGCCATCTCTCCAAGGCATCCAGAATCAAGATTTTTAAAGATTATGACAAGTATAAGATTAATAAATTAAGTAATAACTTTCCAGAGCTCTAACTTGTGCAGAGGACACAGCACTTGTGAAAATATGACTTCCTGGTTAGAGCAGCCTGCTCAGAACGTCTGCTCCCACCCCACTTCCTGTTCAGAGCCTCAGCTCTCACCCCCACTTCCTGTTCAGAGCCTCAGCTCCCACCCCACTTCCTGCTCAGAACCTCAGCTCTCACCCCCACTTCCTGTTCAGAGCCTCAGCTCTCACCCCACTTCCTGTTCAGAACCTCAGCTCTCACCCCCACTTCCTGCTCAGGACCTCAGCTCTCACCCCCACTTCCTGCTCAGAACCTCAGCTCTCACCCTCACTTCCTGGCAGAATTTCCCAGCCCCTCCCTAAACTGTGTACCTATAAAAACTCCTTGACGACTCAGTTTTCTAGGGCATACATTGGTGCCTAATGAATGCGGGGAACGTTGAGAGCCCTCAGGACCTGGACCGGGTCTCACATATACTTGACTGTCCATCTTACTCTCTCCTTGCGGACAGCTAAAACTCCAGCCTCAAATGCATGGTCTCCCTAGCGTCTGTTGGCCTTCCTGACATGCACGGGACCTTGCTCCTCTCCCGCCATTCTGACTCGCCTCGGCACCATCTTTCTCTTTCATTTCTGATTAGACTTTCCCTACAAGACAAAGTTTCTCTGAACCCCACCTCAGATTCTCTGGAGAACCAGCCTCAATACGTGAAGGCTCGGTAAATCAAGTCTGTGCAGTGAGTAATTTGGCCTTGATGGCTGGGCTTTGGATAGAGCTGGTGAGCTAGGCAGTCTTAGGGTGAGGGCCGGCCATGTTAGAAGAACCTTGTGCTTAGGGAGGGGCCTGCAAGGAGGAGGCTGGGGCGCTACCGCAGGGGTGACCAGCAATGCCTATGCGAAGAAGCCTTGCAAACAACTTTGGAAACTGATGTTTGGAGGGCTTTTTGGGTTGGCAGAATTCCAAGTACACTGTCAGAAACCGAAGGTAAAAGTAATTAATGCATCTAAGAATAAGACAAGATGCATGAATGGGGCCTAGAGCCTTCATTAAAGTATCTGTTTGGACTGTTAACCTGCATCCCTTTCTTGCAATGAACAGTAGCCACATGTATATCCACTTTCTGCGAGTTTTTCTAGGCAAGTACTGAACACGGGAGCATCATCAGGAATGGAGGCAGTTCTGTGATGGGTGTGCCAGGAATGGAGGAGGTCCTGTGACAGGTGTGTCAGGAATGGAGGTGGTCCTGTGACAGGTGTGTCAGGGATGGAGAGGGTCCTGTGACGGGTGTGCCAGGAATGGAGGGGGTCCTGTGACAGGTGTGTCAGGGATGGAGGTGGTCCTGTGACAGGTGTGTCAGGGATGGAGGTGGTCCTGTGACAGGTGTGTCAGGAATGGAGGTGGTCCTGTGACAGGTGTGTCAGGGATGGAGAGGGTCCTGTGATGGGTGTGCCAGGAATGGAGGAGGTCCTGTGACGGGTGTGTCAGGGATGGAGGTGGTCCAGTGACGGGTGTGTCAGGGATGGAGGAGGTCCTGTGACAGGTGTGTCAGGGATGGAGGCGGTCCTGTGATGGGTGTGTCAGGGATGGAAGAGGTCCTGTGACAGGTGTGTCAGGGATGGAGGTGGTCCTGTGACGGGTGTGTCAGGGATGGAGGCGGTCCTGGGATGGGTGTGTCAGGGATGGAAGAGGTCCTGTGACAGGTGTGGCACCTAACACCATGCAGCCTGGTTCACTTTGGGCACAACCTCAGGGGAGTCACCTGCTACCTTTCAGCTCCTGGCTCAGTCACCTGAGTTTTCTTTATCCAGCATAGTCTGTCGGCTTCAAAGCATTATGATCAAACGGGAAAGTGCAACGTCACAACAGTCCAAAGACAAACAGTCTGTGTGACTACAGAACACTTCTTAAAACCCTGGGAACTTAAGAAGGAAACCCATGTGAGGCCCCTGCTTTCCCAGGCCCTCTTACCTAGGGGTGACCTGGGTGATGTCAGAGGGGTGTAGGATCCTACAGGTGGTGAAGGTGAATGTCGAGTTTGTGCATGACAGACACTTCCCGGGGTTCGCAGTTGCAACTGAAACAGAGACTGTTAGGAAACCAAAGACGGAAAAAAAAAAAAAAGACGGGGTAAATAACATAAAAGGCCATCATTATTCTGTTAGCAGTACAGCCTTCACCAGCTGCCTTGCGTCATAGAAAGCTCATACAAATGGAGACAGAATGTATGTAGAATGTGCTAGTATTAACTGATTAGTGAACTTCCAGTACTTTAAAGTTATAAACAAAAGGAGTAAAAATAGCTTAGAAATGGGAGAAAAACACATTAAAAAATTAAGATCAAGTTATCCAGGTGCCTAGGTCAAGTTACTCTCCTGGTTCCTAAAGCATTGTGTGCTAACTCTAGAAAACTTCATGGTGATTCGAGGATGAGGCTTTCTTTGTTTTCTTTTCTCCTTTTCTGATGGGACTGACACTGGCCTGCTGGCACAAAAGCAGTGATGGGTGAAGATTCTGGCTCCTTAGCACAAACCAAGGCCAGGACACCAGATACACTTGCATTCTTCACCCTAGCTAGTCAATCGGGTTTACTGAAGAAGGTTTCTGATGGAGTGGGATTATCATGAAGCCTTCCATCTTTTTGCTGTGCAGTACGTGAGAACAGGAAGTGTGCACTAAGTTCCCCTGCTGCCTACGACGCAGCCGATACAAACAACAGTCACCTACAGAAAAGCATTTGGGCGGCTAAGGTGAAATTGTATCCGGGCACAATGTTTACCCGAAAGTACAACACACAAGCTATAAGAAGTCAGACTTGGGAATCTGGCAGGCATTTCCTTGGCTGGGGAGAAGCTGTCAATATTTACTACCAAGCTTCAAGTGAAAATCAGTTTTGGAAAACTTACATCCAGGACTGGGCATGAGAACGTGAGAACACGCTAACAGCCTTCATGCTGAGGGAGTCAGCAGTGATATCAACACATCAGCTAACGGAAAGCGTCAACATCTGAGTGTCAGTGCGACTGTCTGAACGACCGACTGACCAGGTCACCAAACCATACATGAGCAAACGTTCAAAGTGTAGGACAAACACTTTTAATGAAACCCAGTATGAAATGCATTGCCAGGGTTTCGAATTCCACATTGTTGTAAATATCTAAGAAACTACCACTTACCAAGTTTTTATCTGAGTTCAAACAACATCCATAATTCTTGAAGACCATTAAAATATTTTTTATTTTCTAGCTGCATATTCATATGAGGGCGTATTTTTTCACGTTGTTTGTCCAAAACAACATTGCAACTACTAAGTCACAAGTTAGACTTGCAAAATTGTAAAACGAGACCATTTTCTTACTATGTACAATATAGTTATTTTTCAGAAAACAGTATTTGTATAACGGAATTTTTATCTATTTATTTTTTTTTTTGTTTTGTTTTTTGAGACAGGGTTTCTCTGTGTAGCCCCGACTGTCCTGGAACTAGCTCTTATAGACCAGGCTGGCCTCCAACTCAGAGATCCAGCTATCTCTGCCTCCCAAGCGCTGGGATTAAAGGCATGCGCCACTGGTGCCCAGCTCAGAATTTCTATTCTTAAATAAGCTAATTATTTTTGTTAAGTTCTCAGTTTTTATTTTAACTTAATTAGTATCAACATACATAACCCATATAGATAAACCTGGAGTCTCACAGACTCATAAGAGCATCAAAGGGTCCTGAAAACAAAAGGCTTGCAAACTACTAATGGACCTGATCCATTTCTCTTCCTAATTTCGTTTGCAGGCTCATGGGATTAAAATGGAGAAAATGAGAAACGTCCTCGATGCTATAGATTTCTACTGTCTATCTTCCGCTAGTGAGTACGTGCCACCGAGATGGCGCAGGGGCAGCTGGGTAGCCACAGCGGGACCGTGCCATGCGCCGTGTGCGAGGCCCTGTGTCTCACCTGCAACCGGCCCACCTGCTGAGGTGATGGGTGGCAGGAAGATCCCTGTTACTGGCGTGGGAGCTGCAGGTTTCTGCTCCACGTGAAGCGGCTGCTGAACCTGAAAAGTGATCCCCTCCTCTTCATCCTCCTCTAAATCTGAGAGGTGGTAGATGGCATCCTCGGGCATCTGGGGCATCTGGGCGAAGCCTTTGGTGATGACCCCTGGCCGCGGGTCAAGGATGGTTCCCAAGTTTGGTTGAGCGAGCTGCTGCCAGTGATGGAGTGTCTGTGATCCTGGACAGGCAAGCAGGGGAGGCAAGCATTACGTTTCCCACAGAGCCTCAGTCTTGAAGCAGCTAGAATTATGTGAGTCGTGGCAATAATGATGTTTTGATAAAAGCTGTAAATTTCAGTATAAGATCTCTGTAGAAAATGGCGTGGTGCTGGGCATCTGCGCAATAGCTTTTCTTTTCTTTTCTTTTTAAGATTTATTTATTTATTAAGCAGACAGTGCTCAGCCTGCATGAATGCCTGCAGGCCAAAAGAGGGCGCCAGATCTCATTACAGATGGTTGTGAGTCACTGTGTGGTGCTGGGAATTGAACTCAGGACCTCTGTGCTGTTAACCTCTGAGCCATCTCTCTAGCCTGCAATAGCTTTTCTATTTCAAAAGACAGTCTTCAGAGGGATATCTAAAGAGGAGGAGGAGAAGAGAAACCCACTAAGGCACTTTTAACAGGACCCAGGCTGCTCAGGCAGGAGGGAGGCCATAGGGCTTAGAGGCGGGTTGCCCACTCCAGGTGGTGAAAACCAGGGTTCGCCTGGCTTAGTCTACAAACTCGGAAGCAAACGCTGGGCACTTAGGTTCGAAAATAACTTGGATTTCTTTGTGCACTTCTCCACATGTTCGTGACCGTTTCCCCTGAACTCCCAGAGGAGCAGGAAAACGGAGGTGACAGAGTAGAGAACGTGTCCCTTTAGCTCCAGCCCACCGGATGCTGACGAACGGTCATCCCTTGTTCATGGACCAGATGGAACATCTAATTGTGTCACTACGAGGATGTCATCCTGGAATTGGCAACTCTAACCAATATTTGGAGTCCCTACAGGGGGTTCACTCAAACTTTTGTTTAATAAGAAACTTTTTATCACAGTATCAGAGAGCCACTCAGGAACCATCACTATCTCATAAGTCAGATATTCTGATTTTATCTCACATTTTATATAAAACTGAACTAAAGGAGAAAAAAGTACAGGCATGCACACGTGCCCCTGTGTCGGTGACACCCCTTGGGTCGAGTCTGCAGGAGGAGATGCAGCAGTAGTGGCCACATCCTGTTGGGCTCACCATGGTAACTGCTGTCAGTGATTTTCCATAGCAACCGTTAGTTGCTCCCCTCTTCTGCTGACACCACCACACAGACAGCTTTGCACACAGTGCTCTCGTAACTACTGGACAGATTTCAATTCTAGGAGGGACGTCTAATGTACACACAGCTTCTAAAAGCTGCTGCGGACTTATTACCTTCTAAAGGCTTGACGATTTGTAACTTTTCTGGCATGAAGCCTCGAAGGCAGCCGGCACTGCCCAGGTCTGTGGTCTCCGACTGGTCAGCGCAGAGTGAGTCAAGGGTCCCTGTGGGGGCGTCGCAGTCACTGACTTCTTCCTTCTCGGCCAGAACTTGGATCTTCCGCTCCCATTCTTCGGCGAAGAACTGCTTCTCACTTAGGTAGTTCTGCCTTCGCAGGCTAAGGCGATGCATCGCCGTAGCCAAATCACTGTCCTCGGTGGGTCCTGGGTGGCTGGTGGGCTGCGAGATCCTGTGGGAAAATCACACTCGCTGACGAGACTGTGGGTTGTGTGCGCAATCTAGACCTCTGCTGTCTACTCCAAGGACTGACCTTAGAAATGAGCTGCTTTTAAGCTATTTGAAATACAGAAAAAAAAAATCAACAATACTATATACCACTGCTGCTTTTCCAATTGCTTCTAGAAAGTTAAAAAAAAATATTGTCCTTGCTAACTTTTCCATTTCATTTAATTATGAAACTGCAGGCAGGTCTACTTTTATGTTCAGGTGAGAGAATCACAGAGCAAGTATTACTAGCATTCACTGAGGGCAGGAGGGTTCACTGTTTTACTGTGAATGAAGGGAAGTGCTAGCCATAAACTATTCCGTGCTATTAATCACCAAATGTAATTACTTAAAAAACTGTGAGTAGGGTGTGGTGGGACATGCCAGGAAGTCTAGCACTCAGAAGACGGAGGCAGGAGAATCATGATTTTGATGGCAGCCTGGGCTGCACAGAAACTTCAAAGCAGCCTGGCTATACAATAAAACACCCACCCAAACCAAACAACAACAGATGAAAAAAATAAATGAAGGAAGGAACGAAGGAAGACAGGAAGGAGGTTAAGTGATGCTAAAAATGTGTGTAAAAATTTAGTCTGGGCCACAAACATCCCCCATATATATATATATATATGCGGAATATTTAAAAGAAAGCAAGAGTTATAAATGATAAAATATCGCATCCTCATAGGTCTCTGTTGCACGTTTCTTTCCAGCACTCTGGAACTGGGAGGTGGCTCAGAGCTGATGCAGCAGGAGGGACCCCCCAACCTCTGCAAGGGAACGAGTGTGAGTCTGCCAGCCCCGTGGGGATGCAGGCCCACAGCCAGGACCCGGGCTTACCCTGGAGCCTCCATGCTGCTCCCTCGGTCCAGGAGGGCTTTGGCCTCTGTTTGCTGGACGCCAGACTCAAAGGGTTTTGCTGTCATGATGACACTTGAGCGGTTGGAGCCTGGGATGGGTAGCAGGGCTGGGAAGGTGACGGAGCGGCCCCGAGTGTCATTGGCAACCTTGACAGTGTCGAACACCCGCTTCTGCTGGGCCCTGCCAAGGAGAGAAGCATTCGTTTCTGTCGCTGTCATCCACTAGAGGGCACCCACGAGACTAATGGTGAAAATAAACTTTGGTCCCGGAGGGCTCCCCCGAGAGGACAATCTGCAGGGTATAGCGTCACTCCTGACTGCCACCCCTCACTCTAGATTGTCATTTCTTCCCTCAGTGTCCAGGGATCGAACCCAGGACCTCACTCGGCCTCTCAAGCCTCCACCACCATTGCACTCTGGCATGTTGCTCCTTTGGGATTTCTACTGCAACGGTGCAGTGACACCCCGTGACCTGTGCTTACTGCAGCGGTGCAGCGACAGCCCTGTGACCTGTGCTTACTGCAGCGGTGCAGTGACAGTCCTGTGACCTGTGCTTACTGCAATGGTGAAGTGACACCCCGTGACCTGTGCTTACTGCAACGGTGCAGCGACAGTCCTGTGACCTGTGCTTACTGCAATGGTGCAGCGATAGCCCTGTGACCTGTACTTACTTTTGTTTAAACACAGATTCCTCATCCAAACTCAGCTTTTTACGCATGGTCCCCTCAATCTCAGCTGCCAATGATTCCTAAAAAAAAGAGTTTAAGATTTGTAAAGTGACTACCACCTTCAAATGAATTAACAGCCTAGACAGTGTGTATTTTTATGATTTATGACATAATAAAGGAAAATGCAGACTAAAATTCAAAAGGGGAAGAGCGGTGGTGGAAATAAAAACTCTTACTTGTGTTCTACCATTCACCAAATACTGTTTATTAACGAATTAAAAAACTCAGCGTTCCTATCTGCAAGAGCCTTACCCTCTAGGTGAAGTTAAACCTCGGTAGAGGTGCGGTGTTTACAGTGTGCCCAAGGCCGACAAGATCCCTGGACTCACCCAGCAGATAGAAAACGCCTCTAGACAGTTGTCGTAGTGAGGGTTTCTCCTGGGGAGCCAAGGGCTATCACCTTAGGATGATAGGACCAGCAGCCAGGGCAGTCAGGGCAGGAATCGGGAAGCAGGAGCTGGTGCAGAGGCCATGGTGACTTGCTTCTCCTGTTCTCTTCAGGACCAGTGGCCCAGGGGTGGCCCCAGCACACTGGCTGGTCCTCTCACATCAGTCGTTAATTAGGAAAATGCCCACAGGTTTGCCCACTGGCCTATCATCTGGAGGGATTGTCCCAATTGAGAGTCTCTCTCCCCGAATTACCCTAGCCTGTGTCAAGTCGACAAGCTGTCTTCTGACCTCCATATGCACACACGACACGTGACAGGCACACACACAAGCACATACTCTAAGTGGGGACAATTAAAAAACAAAGGATGTAGCCGGGAGATGGCTCTAGGGGCAAAGATTTGCCTCCAAGTCTGCTGACCCGAGTCCACTCCCTGGATCCACATCACGGTGGAAGAAAGAAACAGCTTCTACAAGTTCTTCTCTGACCTCCACACCCATGTGATGGGTCACGTGCGTCAAACACACGCAAAGCAAACAGACATACAGATTAAAAAGCGTGGCTTAAGGAAGTGGCAGGTGGTGGGTCTGAGGTGGAGGAACCTCGTCTGTGCGCTCTGTGGCACAGAGATCAAAATCCAGCTCCCTTAGAGTTTACCTCCAACACCGCAGGAGTCTAGACTATCATCTGGGATGTTTAACAAGAGCCATAAGGAAGATGTGGTATGCAGATTAAATCCTGACTCAGTGACTGCATCCCAGAAGCAGGAGCAAAGCATGGTCTCTCTTTTCTAGCTACCTGACGGCATCATGAGCCACGGCACGAGCCACGGCACCCTCTGGAGACAGAACGCAGGCCTCCCTTCCCTTTCTAAAGCACATGGCAGCTTCTTCTCCCTTACCCCCGTGAAAACTCCGTAAGACTGCGAGAAGCCGAGGTGAGCGGCTGGGCCACACTTGCTGCGAAGCTCTTTTATTTCTTCCTGGGACTCGTGCAACATCCCCAGGCACTCCATGTTCCTGTCTTGTAGGTCATGAAGCTGAGGGAGAAAGGCAGCACAGTTATAACCCCAAAATGATCAAAACCACGACCGTCAGACCCGAGACTCTGAGACCGTAGAAGGGAAAAGCAGAGAAGAGACTTGAAGACACAGGCAGGGGCAAGGACTTTGTCAACAGAACGAGAAAAGCTCTCAGGTCCTATATTCTTAAAGAAAGCCAAGGTTTTCTCTATTACTCAAGAGGAAGGCTGCTATGATTAACTTTAGAAACATGACTTTTTAAAGCTTTAATTCTCAGATCTCATGAACTTCGTCTTCACTGTTTGTTGCTGCTGCTGGATTCCAAATGTGGCCGTTTTCTTCCGTGACTCACACATGTGAATGACAGCCCTGTCCTATCCCGTCCGCCCCCCCCCCCCCCTTGGCCCCCCCCCTCCCCCCCCCCCCCCCCTGCGCTGCAAAGACAGAGGAAGCCGCATTACCTCCATTGTCAGCTGTCGCTGGGCGTCTTTGGAAGCCTGCAGGTGAAGTCTGAGTTCTTCCTTCTCGATGACATGCTAAGGACACAGAAGAGGGAGACGTGAGGCACTCCTTTAGAAGACATACTAAGAGTCTCTATCTGGGGTGCAGTCTTAGGCCTGTGACAGTGATCCCAGCAGAGGCCAACTACAGTAATGATGTAGGCAGAACACAAAATACACGTGTTCATGGATACGGACCACGAGTTCCTCACCGACATCAAAACTTCAAGAAAATCTGATATATTTGCAAAACTAGGCAGTACTTCAGAGTTATTTATGATATTTTAGCAGAGGGGCAATACTGAAAGAACAGAGTAAAGCAGTTAAAGGGGGAGAGGCAAGTTCACTCTGCTCGGTAAGGTAGCACTTGGCAGAACGCCGTGCACAGGGAGAGTGCAGGACAGAGCTTGGCTGAGGGGAGGCACACACTTCTTTAAGCTTGTGCTGCAGATCTACGATCTGAGACAGTAGGGACGAGATCTCCTCTTGGTATCGGAGCAGCTCGTCACTCTTGCCCGACAGTTCTTCGGTCATTCTGGACATCTGCGCGTTGGTTTCACCTAGGAACAAAGCCGAAGTTTAGAAGTCAACAAAGATGGAACTGGAGTTGGTCCAGGAGAGCTTTCAGGTCAGATGCTGATTTAGGACAACCAGGGCTGAGTTGTCCTATTGCGGCTGTAAGTATATCCTGGCTTCCCAATAAGTCAGGGTGTCCCTGAACCACTACTGTAACACATTCCCCTACAGTTATGGTTTGATCCTCTAAGTTTGTTTGGGAATTTGGTCTCTGGTGGAGTGTGGTGCCCAGCATGGTGGTGCTGAGGTGATGGAAGGCTTATCAGGTGGAGCTCAGCAGGAGGAATTCGGGACCTTGGGTATTGTCTTCAGAAAGGATCAACACTGGTCTCTCCAAGGGGGCTAGTTCCCTAAACAGCAAGCTGTTGCAAACAGGACTAACTCATGTGTTTGGCTCCTTCTACATACAGTCAAATCCATTTCTGTTTCTCCATCATGTTTAAACAATTAGGGGACCTTGCTTTGCTTCATAAATAGGCCCACAGCAGACAATGTGTAGATAGTTGCAGATACATTTGCAGACCAAGACAACAAGCACTTATAACTATTTCTGTGGAGACCAGGGGTCTAATTTCTGAGCTGGAGAGAATCTCACCAAACTGCCCGAAGCAGAGTGAAGATGCTGCTACTCACGAAGTTCTTTAACGCAGTCGTTGACCAGCTGCTGCTCCTTCTCTTCATAGGTGAAGGTTTCTGTCTTGATATGACAAGCCTTCAGGGGAGGGGAAACAACAACCATTGGCGTGATGGGTCTTCCTAAGGAATCTGAAGCCAAAGCTACAGAAAGCTCTGCCGTTTCAACATCCACGTTCATTACGTGTAAAGGAAACGAAGTTATCCCATCGGGTTTGCGCGCTCACAGAATATGGACCAGAAAAGGTGGGACAGACGCCTCCCTTAATTCTGCACAGGGCTTGCACCTGCCTGCCCATGCATCCCCCTCTCTGCTGGCTGCATCTCTAGATCAGCTAAAACGCCACCTGCTTATGTAGGATGTGCTTGCTCCGTGGCCCTTTACAGACCCGAGGAAACCGTAATGTTCCAACATGACCCTTCTTGGCTAGTTTCATTAGCCACACTAGATGGGCACACAACACTGGTACTCCTTTGTCTGCCTACCGGCTCCTACCCGCTTCTCAGCAAGGCCTACGCGACAGCAAAAGGCACAGCACTAACTGAGATGCATTTCTTCTCCGTATTACCCAGACCCGACCACGTAGCGGTAATGGGAAGGGAAGCGAGCCGCACCTTGGATCGAAGGGCCATGTTCTCTTCCTCCAGTTCCCTGAGCTTTTCCTGCAGCATGTCCAGCTGCAGCAAACCTTGCGATAAGTTGAAGGACTCGTTGAACCGAAGAGGCGTGGAGCAGCTGGAGTCGGTCTCACTCTCCTCAGACGCAGTGGAAACGACCCGAAGCAGTTCGTCCTTCTTGGACAGCTCATGCTGCAGCTGGTTAACCTGCACACCGCGTGCGGTCAGCGCATCCGACACTGTTACCCGCAGCACGGCTTCTAACTCACGGAGCAACTGCTTTTCACCATAAAAGTCCCCCACCGTATCAGCAGTTAGACACTACACACTTCCTCAGCTACCCAGCTGGGCCCTCACCTCCACAGATACAGCGTCTTCCAGAGCATGTGTGAAGAAAGTCAGTTTTCAGACTCGGTAAAACAGTAATACACGACTCTTCAAAGCCTTCCACCATACCTCACTCTAAAACCCACGCCCAGGGCCTGGACTCCCTGCCAGCTAACTGGGGAGAATGGTGAGCCTTTACGTGCTAGACACTGAAGTCCCCAGCAACTGAGCTGCATCCGCAGGCCCCTGTTTTTTGAATTTACTTTATTTCGTGTTTTGGCTTTTGAGATGCGGTTTCTTGAGAACGCTTCCAGGCTGGCCTTGAACTTGCAGAGCACCTGTCTCAGCTGCAGAGTAGCTATGCGGACAAGCCTGTGCCACCGAACTTGGTGATGACTTGTGTTTTTAAGCGGTCTCTGACTATGTGAATCTTCCCACTGTGGATGCCCTCACTTGTAGAAAATAAATATTTTCAACTTAAAGGACCGAATGCATTCACAAAATATAAACAAGCTTAGATAAAAAAAACAAATTATTGCTAAGCATGGTGGTGCATGCCTTTAATACCCGCACTGGGGAGGCAGAGGCAGGTGACTGTCTGTGAGTTCAAGGTCAGCCTAATCCACATAGTGAATTCTAGGCCAGTCAGAGCTATATGGTAACACTCTGTCTCCTTAAAAAAAAAAAAATACAGGAAATTTAAAATTTACCTACTCATTGTGATAATAAATTACTTCTTACACTTATTGATATAGAATCTATATATTTTAAAATTTACTTTTTTTAACCTTCTGTTTTGGTTTCTGTATAAGAAGCATTTGGGTATTTTAACACCACAGGCTGTCAAATGAAAACACTATTACCTCTTTCGGAGCTTGTTGGTCAGTGGAGGCCACAGACCCTCAGATATTACAGGCTGTGGTCATTGCTCTTGATCACCCCCAGAACTGGACGGGAAGACCCTACTGCTGCTGATGCTCCACAGACTCGAGTTGCTGAGCATGAGATCGAGTGGTACTCACCTGGAGGTCCCATCCCTACTGGCTAGTTTTCAGAGTGCTGTCAGGTGCTAGCCACACAACGGGGCACAAAAGAAATCATCCCTTTACACAGCCGAGGACCCTGCCACCTACAACAACAACCAGCCTAGCAAGATGCCCACCGGTACAGCAGCGGCACAAGTGTCATGGGAGTCACCAGTCACTCTCTGATTAGATTCAAAACTTGTTCCACAAGATGGAACTCATACGTGACAGTATGAATTCAGGGTCGAGAACCCATGGTCGGGTAGGTCACAGGCCTAGGGGAGGACCTACTAATATCATCCAGCTAGACAGACATGGTATTATACTAACTCCTACCGATCTAAGCTTCATTTGTGAGTATATGGAAATACATAAAGTCAATGGCTACTGGTGTCACCTGCGGTCAGTATTTCAGGAATACCCAAGGAAACACACCTATCCACTGCAGAAGACCTCCTTATTACTATCCCTGTTCCCAGCACAAGGTCAAAGGCTTACCTGATCAAAGGCTTGTCCCAGCTGCTCCTCCAGGGCTTCATTCTGCTCCGATAAGACATGGTTCCTCTTTAGGAGAGCTTGCCCAATCCGAGCAGCTAGCTCTAGATCTCGATCCCTCTGCAAAGCAACAAACACACCTTTTCTTTGAGTATTAAAAAAAAAAAAGCAGATAGCAGATTAGAAATTCTGCAGTGAAATTTGCTAATATTAAGAGCAGATCTCCTATAAAACACAGAGATTCATTTTTACAACCCTAATAAACAAGTGGGCATGGGGCTAGGCACATAGGTAGGGTTTAGTAAACCTTAGTCAGGTAGGTGACTATGTAATTCTGAATTAATTCATAATTACACCTCTTGGTATCAAGTAAGGTTTTGCTGACATCCTATTCATTATGGCCATCAAACCAACTTTGCACTTAGAACTTTAAGAAGCCGGAAAACCAAGAGAAGCTTTAGATAGGAGGGTGGGGGTTGTAGATGTAGCTCAATAGGAAGAGAGTACTTTCAATACTTGGACTTTGGGTCAATATCCAGTACATCCCCCACCTCTGAAACCCAAAATAAAAAATTAAGGTGGACAGAGTCTCAAGTCCAGCCAACATTTGCTGAGTGTGTCAAGTAAGGCAAGGACACAGATTAGGTATTTGGGATGTGGCTCGGTTCCATTTAGGGTAGACTATGTACTCAGGATCAGCAGTTGAGAGGAAGGCAAGGCCTAAAGCCCGGTCCATAGCTAGTGCAAGAAGGATAGAAGTGGAGGCTGGAAATTACGAGGTCACAGGCTTCTACCTCGACTGTGTAAAAGGGAGTCTAGGAAGCTGGGGGTAATGACTAAGGAGTGTGGCGAGGCCAAGCGACAGGCGCTCTTTCTGGGTAGATCCTGATATTAAGCAAGGGTATGGAGATCCCATCTGGGGATGATGAGGGCCTTACTTGTACAATGGAAAACTGTTAATGTACCTTTAACTGCCTTCTATGTGAATATGAGCTGTTTACATTGAAGATAGATGAATAAAATTAAGCTTCTAACTGTTCTCTATCCAATACATGAAAATCGATCACTTCGGGGCAACTTTTCTCATTTTAATATGAGCCAAGTGGCACATATAGAAAGCATCCTGAGGAGACATGTATATCAGAGAGAAAGTCTCTCACAAGATCAACTGAAACTGAGCTATGGGAGAGAACGTTACTGCATGCCAACTGGAAAAGACAGAGTACGCATGCTCAAACTTCCACATGGGGCTGGGGAAATGCTCAGCGGCTAGGACCATGGGCTGTTCTCGCAGAGAACCCAGGTTTGGTTCCCAGCACCCATGTGGTGGCTAGCGACCATCTGTAATTTCAGTTCCAGAGGATCTGATGCCCTCCTGACATTCGCAGGTACTGTACACACACACAATCAGGCAAAAACCCCATATATGTTAAACAAGCAACAAACAAATAATAAAAAAACCTTAACACTTCCACAGGCAAATATAAGTGGAAATAAGGGCCTGAGCTGGGAGTGAGCAGGAGATGCTCCAATGGCAGGGATTAACTGGATCGCAGCTGCTTATTCAATGGCAGCTTGGCCTAGGTGACTGGCAGCAGGAACAGCTTAGAGGTGACTTCGGGGGCGGACATACGGCTCAGCGGTTAAGGCTTTGGACTGCCCTCGCAGAGGGTCCAGAACCCAGCTGCAGGCCGTCACACAGGCAGCTCACACGACTCGCATCTTTAGAGACTGAGTGTCTTCTGACCTCCCAGGGCACTGCACTCAGTGCTCCCCAGCCCCAGCAATTACAAATAGAAATACAAGCTTTGTAAACAGAGAGGTCAGACAGCATTGGGTCTGCCCATCCATATATACCATAATAATGGCTTCAGGAGCCATTCCACTTTGGGAAGTCGGCTGTCCATCACTGGTTCAGCTGTGTTTACACCTTATGTAAAACAACCTAGAAATCAGGTTGGCCATCATCGTGCTTTAGCTGTGCGAACTGGGAACATTCTGAGTGAGCCTCAAGTTTTAGTTTTTATACTGGAGAAAGAAATGATCTATTCGTACCTCTGCCAGGAGATGTGTAACCATGTCGATGTCATTGTAGGTTTTGGTCATCTGCTCCACTCTGTCTGTGCCTAGAACTGAGGCAGCCAAAACAACGCTTTAGAGGCTTTCCGCACACCAGAGAACACGGAACACTCATTAAAATCCTAAGTACCAAAAAAAACCCCAGGTTTCTAAAGAAGTCATTCAGGAGAATGAACATACAAAACCAGAAAGAGAACAAGGGTTCACGCACATCCAAGGTTCACCAACCGTTACAAAAAAAGTACAACACAGTAAATTGAGGAGAGTGTATCAAGTGGTCACATGTCAATCAGGTCCTGACTACCTTTTTTTTTTTTTTAACATCTTTTACCCCTAGGGAGATAAGTTTGGTCCACACACATCTGAAAGTGTGAGCTGGGAATCCAGTTACCTACTTTATAGTTGGATCAATTAAAGTTACTGAAGAACAGCTGGGCGGTGGTGGGGCACACCTTTAATCCCAGCACTCAGGAGGCACAGGCAGGCGGATCTCTGTGAGTTTGAGGCCAGCCTGGTCTACAAGAGCTAGTTCCAGGCCAGCCAGGTCTACACAGAGAAACCCTGTCTTTAAAAAACCAAACCAAACCAAACAAACAAAAGCAACAAAAGTTCTGAGGAGCTAAACTGTCACAGAATCGAATTATAAAGTCCTCACAGATTTAAAACTCAAGAAACAAAGAGAAATGGTAACACAGAATAGTTTTCTTCTAAAATAAGTTTCCAGAAAAATATCAGCAACCAACATGAGCAGCGCTAAAGGACTCTGTGATGCATACAGACACACGCATGTAAGTGTAAACATCAGCACACGCATGTAAGTGTAAACATCAGCACACGCATGTAAGTGTAAACATCAGCAATCAACAGGAAAGACACAAAGGACTCAGTGCGGTGCGCACAGACACGTACACATATAAGTACAACAGTGATAACTACTGAAGAGGAGGTCATGAATTTGAGAGGGTACAGGAGTTGGAGGGGGCTAGGAAGAGGGGTGGAAGCAATGTACAACTCTAAAAATATTAATATTTTTAATAAAAAAGACAGTCTTGAGAGCCTTAATTTAATTTACTTCAGTTATTTAAACTATGAAGGGCAGAAATCCATTTTTATTTGGCCTTCTTGATATTTCAAGTTTAATCAGTATTTACACTCCCAACACTCCCTCCCTCGTCTCTTGTGCACACACACACGCACATGCACACGCGTGCGCACACACACGTAAGCACACATGCACACGTGTACACACATACACACAGTTCTAGGAAACCGTCACCCAGAGCGGGTTAATAATTACTATGCAATGAGCATTCATGGTAATCATTCTCTAACACGGTCTGTCATTAAGAGACATGAGGGCACAATGGCTTATCTGGCTAAGGCGCCTGTCGCCAGGTTCAATGACCTGAGTTTGAACCCTGGAACCAGCCTGCTAGGAGGAGAGAACCTATTCCCACAAGCTGTCCTCTGACCTCCACACATAAATTACGATACAAGGGCCTCTCCCTACTATAAATAAATGCAATAATAATAATAATAATAATAATAATAATAATAATAATAATAATAAAGCCACCTAAAATGCTCCTTGGGAAAATGTGTAAGATTTGATGTAATCTTCCAAGTAAGTCAAATTATAGGAATTTCACAAACATTAATGCGGAGCTCAGGGACTTTTATCACACAGTCCAACAGCGACCGTGTGCATAACATTGTTATACTGGACGGGTAATGGAACAAGTGAAAAAAGTGTAAAAGGGAAGGCCAAGTTACAACAAAATGGAAATAAGTCTCTGTGCTTGGGACAGGTCTGGCTCAGTTCGTCATCCTGTACGGATCACTGAGTGTGAAGACTACACCGCGGCTCCCGTGCGCCTTTCCTTGGCGTGAGGGGAAGTGCTTAGACACAGGTCCGAATCCCTGGCGCTCAGGTGGGGGCAGCATGATCAGGGGCTCAGACCAACGACACAGGACGCTCACGGCAGTCCAGGCTATAGCACAGCCCGCCTTTAAAAAAGAAAGCACGAAGTACATGTGCGGCTAAGAATTATGCTCTTTACAGAATGACGTAATTCCTGCGACTGCATTTGATAGGGGAAGCTAGGAACCCAAAAAGCTAACACACAAGCTACCAGAGTGTCGGGATAGTAAGTGTGGGCAGGCAAAGACAGGCAATTATAGATAACTGCACTGTTTTTAAGACAGTTCTAGTCTTTCTCAGGTGACAGACAAAGGTAGGGCAAACCCAGTACTAAGCACGGCAACAGGTTCTTCTCCCAGACACGGCAGTGGCAGCCTTCTCCGCCTATCAGGTCAGGTAGACGCGGACAACGGCTGCTAGATGCTCAGTGTCTTAGGCAATACTAAGATGCGCCCTGTCTCTATCTCCACGCACAGACTCTGGATGGGTCACAACAACAGCCACAACAACCACCACCACCACCACGACTTACTCATGTAGCGGAAGGTCTCCTCGGCAAGGACGGGAGACAGGGTCTCGGGCGCATCCTGGGGCTGGCGCTGGTGCGAAGACTGCGCCCAGTCTTGGTTCTCACAGAGAAAGAGGGAGTCGACCCTGAGCTTGTAGTGCGGCAGCTGCTCTTCCAGCAGGTTCACCAGCTCGACTTCGGGGGGATCCTCGCTGGAGCTGACATCTAGGCAGAAGGGAAGTCACGTAGATGAAGCTAGTGTGCTCCACCTGCCACGCTGCAGTGAAATTAGCGTTGTGAACGCAGGAGACCGAGGATATGTTAGGCGAGATCATCTCTCCCGACTTATTAGTGTCTTCTAGTGACACTGAGGAGGTTTGGGTTCCAGCCTCCAGCTCTCGGAGGTACTTGACCTCCATGCGGTTTTGGGGACAGACTGGTGAACTATGACAAACACTCACACCTTGGCACACAGCACCTGGCAGTGCACACGGAGGTCAGAGGACACGGGGCCGTTGGTCCTCACCTCCTACCCTGTTTGCTGCCACTGTGTCTGTGTGCCAGGCTGTACAGCCCAGGGGCTCAGGGGACTGTTCCGTCTCCAGTCCTCATCTACTGCGCCCGGTTCCTCGTGCATGGGCGTGTGACAAGTGCTTTCCGCCTGAGCCACTGCCCAGCCTGGCTCTTTCTACTGTTGCTTTACTGCTGAGTCTTTAGACTCTGGCATGGTCAGTGTTAACTGTCATCCTGGCAGAACCCGCAATCACCTGGGACACGGACCTCTGGAAATACCTGCAGGGGGTTACTTTTTTGAGGTGGGAGGATGCACACACAGTTTTCACGCAGTGTCTCTGACATACCAAACATACCTCTATCCAGAGCCTCAATTCCCCAGCTGCCCCCTGTCCTGTTTTTCAGTTTTAATCCTAGAAGGTACACGGGCTTTGGCATCAAATCTAGTGTCTGAATCTGACTCCTCCACACATTAATGATGGGGTATTAGACACAAGACTCATCCCTCCTGAGCCCCATTCCCCACACATTTACAAAATGTATAGACGAGACTCTATTGCATCCGAGGTCACACTTGGCACACAGTAGGCACCCACTGAATACTGCTGATGTCACTAGTCTCCTCTCACAGGCTGGCTCTGAACATAGTCGGGACTCTCTTGTATGTCTGCTCCTGGCTTCCTCCCTCTCACTTCTGGGAGATCTGGTATTTCCTTTGTGGGCAGCATAAAGAAACAAGCTCGAACTCCAACAAAAGACAACACTTTATGAAAATAAACTCTGAAAGAGTACATTTTTATTAGTTGGTCTGAACTAACCAAGGGGAATTTAATGAGTTTAATACAAAGCCTGGCACTATCGCAGGTCTCCATTTAGCCAGAAGATAAGCAGTGGCCTCATAACCACAGAAGAGATGTGGTCCACGTAAGCCTTCATCGTGGTTCCAAAGACCCCTCCTGCCTTGGCAGAGCTATTGCACAGAGCTCTGAAAAGGGAGCCACGTCTATCACTACAAACGCCAAGTGATTATGCACACTTTGCTTGCCACACACACATTACAGATAGATGGTCCTTCTAACGCTGGAAACTGACTACAGACGCGTGCACAGACAAGTTGTTCCAGAATATGGAGGAAAGGGAGACCACACACAATTCCCGTCATTTCTCATTCTTCAACGACTCTCCACACACTTACTTCTCCCCAGTCACACTGACTCCATTTAGGTTCAGGGATTCCTTTCGGTTTTCTTAAATATGGCTTTAGAACAGAGCTGTCATTAACACACTCAGATCATCTGCCACGCTTCCATCATATGACTCCTCTACTTTAGGGAAAAAGGCATGTGAGTTTCATCTCTCCAGAATAAAAAAAAAAAAATACAAACAACCAGTGAATGCCTGAGCAACTAAATTAACTCTAGAATAGAGAATATTGAAGTGGTGATCCATCTAACAAAGATGAACCAGCCCTGAAATGAGACCCTTATCACCAAATGCTTTGCCAAAGCAAAACTGAACCCTCTAAGAAAAACCACTTATCTAGAATATATCAGGAACACAAGATTTAACGTTTAAAAATTCAGACATAAGTGGGTGCTGGCGGCCCACACCTTTACCCCAGCACTCGGGAGGCAGAGGCAGGTGGATCTCAGAGTCTGAGGCCAGCCTGGTCTACAGAGTGAGTTCCAGGACAGTCAGAGATGTTACACAGAGCAATCCTGCCTTAAAAAGTCATCATCATTATCAACAACAACAAAACCCCAAACAAATCTCTAAAAGCCTTGCCACGATAAAGAGAAACTCAGTTCATCTGAAATTCTAGCACAAGCAAACTGCATCCAACAGAAGTGCAGAGCGGGCTGAGGGCTGCCTGGAGCCGGAGTAAGGGCTGAGATCAGGATGCGAGAGAACCTGCACGGGGTGCCATGACGTCCCGAGATCCTGCACGGGATGCTATGACGTCCCGAGATCCTGCACGGGATGCTATGGTGTTCCGAGAACCTGCTCGGGATGCTATGACGTCCCGAGATCCTGCACGGGATGCTATGACGTCCCGAGAACCTGCACGGGGTGCTATGACGTCCCGAGATCCTGCATGGGATAACATGACGTCCTGAGAACCTGCACGGGATGCTATGGTGTCCCGGGAACCTGCATGGGATGCTATAACGTCCCGAGATCCTGCACGGGATAACATGACATCCTAAGAACCTGCACGGGATAACATGACGTCCTGAGAACCTGCATGGGATGCTATGACGTCCCGAGATCCTGCACGGGATGCTATGGTGTCCTGAGAACCTGCACGGGATGCTATGGTGTCCCGAGAACCTGCATGGGATGCCATGACGTCCCGAGATCCTGCATGGGATGCTATAAAGTCCTAGACCTTCACTGTACCGGTTGGTATTTGTCCAAACCCAAGCAGTACATTAAAATGGGGACAGTTTTCTATACCTTATTGAGCATATGATAATAAATCTTGGATTTATGCGGGTTTGAGGGTTCAGAAAGTTTCGGACTTGGGCTTTTAGAAAAGCAGAGTACACAATGACTGGGTTTTATAACATCCCTACCTGCTTCTGTAAAAATACATTCGATATATTAATATATCTTTTGAAAATGTAAACCTAACTCACTGAGACTACAAGGCAGCGAGGCTTTGTGAGCTCATGATTTATTATTAATACGACGATGGCAATGATGTGTGCGTGGTGTATGTGCATGAGTGCAGGCTCACGTGTGCCACAGCATGTATGAACATGAGGACAACCTTCAGGACCTGGTTCTTAATTCTGTCCTTGATGAGGCTGGGTCTCTCATTTCTGCTGTACTGTACAAACCAGGCTAGCTGGCCTACGCACCTCTGGGTGACTCTGCCTGTGCCTCCCCCTCCCACAAAGGGCAGGAATTACAGATGTGTGCTGGAGTGTCGGTCACTTGTGAAGACTGCATTCCTCACCGACCCACCTCCCTGGCTCCATTTGGTGATTTTAAAACAAAAACCTTACGAATAAAAAACCTTCTAAGTACTTGGAGATTTTTCAAAAGGATGTATTTATGTCTTTACTTTTATCTGTTTGTGTCTATGTGAGCACATGAACATATATGTATGTAGATACGTGCATGTAAGACCAGGAGACTCTCGGGTCTCCCTCTGCCATTCTCCCCCTGTGTTTATGTGAGCACACGAACATACGTGTATGTAGGTGTGTACATGTGGAGATGCGTACATGTGAGACCAGGAGACTCTCAGTCTCCCTCTGCCACTCTCTCCCTGTGAACACATGAACATATGTGTATGTAGATACATACATGTGAGACCAGGAGACTCTCGGTCTCCCTTGGCCATTCTCCCCCCTGTGAGCACATGAACATGTGTATGTAGATGCATACATGTGAGACCAGGAGACTCTCGGTCTCCCTCTGCCATTCTCCCCCTGTGAGCACATGAACACATGTGTATGTAGATGTGTACACATGAGACCAGGAGACTCTCGGTCTCCCCCTGTGAGCACATGATCATGCGTGTATGTAGGTGCACACATGTGGAGACCAGGAGACACTTGGTCTCCCTCTGCTCCTCCTGTGCCTTTGAGGCAGGAGCACTCCCTGGATTCGGGGCTGTATTTTCTAGCTGAGTTGGAAACCAAGCAAGCCTCAGAGGTCCTCTGTCTCGGCTGCTCAGATCTGGTGCAGCGGGCGTGCACAAAACATCCAGTTTGCCCACACAGGTGCTGACCCAGTCTCTGGTCCTTGATTGCAGAGCAAAGCACTCCCCAGTCCCTGAGGCTTGATTTTTTTTTTATTTTAATTTTTAAAACTTTATTCTCACAGATAAAACTTAAGGGCCTACAACAATGTCGGTCCCTGCAAGCTCAGGGGGCCTCCTGTGTGCCAGGCACCACGCACAGACGCTTGCAGGTTCCCAAAGACAGGTGCGTCGCTCTGACACAGTTTCTGCTCACAGGACCCAGAGGGTATCCAGGAGTACAGCACAGACAAAGGGCTGCACAGAAGGAGGAGTTGGATAATGTAACTGGACACCCGTGATGCAGTGATTAATTCAGGCTGGCTCTGAGGCCACCAGGTTGGACATGGAGACTGGGGATTCATCAGAGCAGGTCACACAGGCCAAAATGAGGCATCTGCGCTTGGTCCTGCGGGAAGTAACACGCCAACGTCGTGACCCTGAACTCACCAGTGATGCTCTCCGAGTCTCGGTGGTTGCTATTCATGAGGCTCTCTTCACCTGTTGGTGATGTGAAAATGGCATTCTGGGAGTGACTCATGCAGAATCCTTTCTCGCTGTGGTCGAAAGGGGCCGCTTTGGTATGCACTGGAGTAAAGGAAATCCATTAAGCCATTCGGGAAAGAAATGAACGTGGTCATGTGTACACTCCCTTTAGGACAGGTTTTCCGTGGTGAGTCAAGTGACATCTGCGGCTGTGAGTGCTCATGTGGTTGTCAGCCCTTGGACAGTCATGGCCTAAAACAAAGAACAGACCCAGTGGTTAGAATCCAGCACGCTCCTTAATAACAGGACTCTCATTACCCGGCATGTCTGTCATTAAGAATGTTTTTATTTCTAAGATACACACAACAACATGAGTGAATCTCAATGGAATTAGGCTGGACGAAACAAATAAAGAAATAAATCAGCTCAAGATTTATGATTCCATTTTTATAAGAATTCTAAAAAAAAAAAAACAAACCCAACATGTCTATGGTACCAAAAAGCAGATCAATGGCCGGGCCATTATTCGAGCGCAGGAGAGTAGCTTGGGAATAATGCATGCAGTCACTGTGACGGCTTCGGGAGGCGGAGGCTAAGGACAGTGAGTCTGAGGGCAGCCTGAGCTACACAGAATTTCAGGGGAGTCTACACAATTTAATGGGACTTGGTTTCACAACGATCAAAGAGCCAGGCCTGGTGGCACATCCTTTAATCTCGTACTTGCAAGGCCTGAGGAGGCAGATCTCTGTGAATGTGAGGCCAACCAGTAGTATATAGTGAGACTTTGTCACAAAAAAAAACACAAAACAAACAAAATAAACAAAAGTTGCAATGCACTAAATATATGTCTACTTAAAACAAACAACAACAAAAACAGGGAACTGTTATCGGTTAAGAACTGTTCAGTCCAGCTAGGTGGGCAGTGCAGGTCTCAGGACTGGGGAGGGAGAGGCGGCGTATGTGTGTGTTTGTGTGTGTGTGTGTGTTTGTGCGTGTGTGCGTGTGTGTGTGTGTATTCAAGGCCATAGTGGGTGTGCTAGGGAGCCCGTCAGAGGTGGCAGTGGAAGGAAGGGTGTTCAACCCTAGCCATCAGTGTTGCTTACATAAAAGGACGTCTGCTAAACAGTCAGCCATTCACAGCTTGCATCCTCGTGACTACTACTTAGAGGCATCAAATCTCAGTTATGTTTATGTAGAGAGCAGAGAAAAGAACCAAGTAAAGCAGTCTGAGAAATAAATGGTCAGAGAGGAAGAACAGAGACATACTTAAAACACCAGGGACACATGTTTCAGAGACAAAGTGAGCATCAGAGTCAGAGAAGTCAAAGGGGAAATTTGTCGCTTTGAAGCCAGCGCAGTTAAAGAGTTAGACCCCAACCAGGCTGGTGAGCAGACTGCGCGGTAAGAGAGGGGCTTGGGGAACAGACGAGAATTTTCCAACACCTAAGCATTCAGATTTCCTCAGACCAACCGGGACACTTTGAGAGACTTCTGTGGTGACTGGCAGAGGGTTTCCTGACTGCTTTTATTACGCCCTTTCTTTTGAGATTTTATTTTTATTTTATGCGTTTAAGTGTTTCCCTCAATGTGTTTGCACACCACATGCATGCAGTGTCTGTGGAAGAAGTCAGAAGAGAGCATTGGATCCCCTGGAACTGGAGTTACAGACATTTGTGAGTCACCTTGTGGGTGCTAGGAATCAAACCTGGGTCCTCTGGACAAGCAGTCAGTGCTCTTAACCGCTGAGCCATCTCTCCAGTCCCATTCTATTAATTCTTAAAACATTTTATAAGGAAAAAAAGAAAAAACAAAACAGACTAGACAGCAGTCTTTTCTCCCCAAAAGTTTGTAATCTCATGTTGGCATAACAAAAATTTAATTTTCTACAAATGATTCAGGTAATTTTAATAAATACATAAAGATTCTTTTATGTGTGCAACTATTTTTCTGGAATAAGTTTGCAATATAGAAATGTGGATTGGCCGGCGCAATGTGAAGCAAAGCTTTGTCACTGTTAGGGACTGGGATTCGCGTCATCGAAGTTCATTTTCAAGTTCGAAGGGCACTTTACCGCACACCTTGGTGTCCCCTCAGTATCTTGTTACTCAAAGCTGTCGTTTCTAAACCAAGCACTGCAAAGGGAATAGAAAGATAAGTGAAGGAAACCCATAAAAATTCGCCTCTGAACTTGAGATGAAGGAAGCGACCTTCTTTGGTGGACATCCCACCGAGGTACAGAAACAAAAGGTGGACAAAGCTCTGCCCACAGAGGGCGGGAAAAATGATCCGTAGGTGGATAACCAACCGTCATCTCCCATGGTAAGTGTTCACATGTGGCTTTAATCAATCTTTTGTGAGGTTAAACTACTCCCAAACCTGGACTTGAGATAGAGGGAGTGTCTGGGGGCTAGGGAAGTCACTCAGTGAAGGGCTTTCTACTGAAGCCCAGGGCCCATTACAAAGCCTGCCCTGGTCCCCATGGTGGGGAGGCAGAGAGAGCTGGACCCCTGGAGCTCCATGATGCCCTAGCCTAGTCTACAAGGTGAGTTCTAGGCTAGTGAATAACTGTCTCAAAAAATAAGTGTTTTGCCTGCATGCCAGAAGTCAGCTCCAGATACCACTACAGACAAGGTTATGAGCCACCCTGTGGGCGCTGGGAATCAAACTCAGGTCCTCTGGAAGAGCAGCCAGTGTTCTTAACCCCTGGGCCATCTCTCCAGCCCTCCACTTCTATTTTTTAACTTTGCTTTTTCAATTTATACATTATCGTCTCAGAACACAAAAAAATTATATATAGATTTTGATTCTGTGTCCCAGACCTTTGCTCTAGAGAATTGCCTTTCAAATTAGCAACAAATGGAGTCTTGTTGTTGGTCTGAACGCTGGCATACAGGAGCAGAGAAAACTGAACTCACACAGAACTAAGTCCACAGTGAGAGTCATGAGGAAGGAATGCAGGCCTCCAGGGCAGTCCAGGGACCTGCCAGTCTGCACGGGGTACCAGGTCAGGGGTGACTGAGCAGGGCAGCACTTTCCTGGGAACTCTGAGCAGCATGCCCCACCTGACTTGGTCTCCTCAGGAAGGGCAGTTTGGGTGGCAGCAGGGGCCAGCTGCCTGAATTTTCTGACCTTGTGCTCGGTACTTACTGTTTCTGAATTTTATTTCTTTTTGCCAAGATAGGGTTGTTCACAAACAAGAAGGGTCAGATATGAAGAGTAAATAAAATTTACTCAACTGAGATGCAGCAGAAACTCAAATGCTCGTTTTTTGTTTGTTTGTTTTGCTTTTTTTTTTTTTAGCTTTTCTCTACCCCTTAAGCCTGGGGAAAGCATGGTTTCTGCCTAATAAGTCTTAAGTTCCCAGCATGTCTGAATATAGAACAGGTGCATCTCATGATCAGCGCTGAGTAATTTTTAACCTGAAAGAGACAAGATCCAAGAGGTTGGAAGAAGTGACCTCGGGCTGTGACCACTGAGGAGATTATCACTGGAGTTGGTTCCCTGTGGATTCTCAGGAGGTCCTGTCTGCAGTAGGATGTCTCCCACTCCCAGCCCCCACAAAAGCTTTCCAGAAGCTTCGGCAAGCTACCATAAACATAAAGCCTGACCCATTTTCCACACGCGGCTATCCAGTTCTGGGAGTCAGAGGCGCAGACCGGCTCTGTTGACTGTACCAAGGTGACGGCAAGGTTGTGCTCCGTAGCTTGGCAGGCTCCAGAGAACCTTCTAGCTGTTGCAGCCGTGTTTCTTGGCTCTGAGCCTCTCCTGCTATCCTGAAAGCCAGCAGCAGGCACCTCCAAACCTTCCTCTGTCTCTGCTGGCACACTGCTGGTTTCTGCCACCAGGTCTTCCTCTGCCCCCCTCTCTCTCTCTCTTTCTCAATAAGGAACCTATAATTGATGCTTAAGGTCCAACTGGCTAATCCAGGATAAACTCCCTCTCAAGCTCCTATCCGCAAAGTCCCTCTGCCTAACGTGACAGCCACAGGATTCCAGGAGTCAGACACAGCTGGCTGGGGCTGAGAACTGTGATTCAGGTGACCAGAGTGGTTAAGAATGTGAACCACAGTGTCCCACTCACAGTCATACCATCGTCTCCTGCTCCATCACGTGTCCAGGGGAAGGAACTCAGACGGACAGACCTGGTGGCAAGCGTCCTTCTTGCTGAGCCACCTCACAGGCCGTGGTTGTATAATTCTGCAAACTACGTAACCGTGTTTCTTCATCTGCTGAATGGGGTTACGAACATGATCTACTTAGGGACTTAGGTGAGGATTAAAAAGGCCATGAGAGCAGTGGCGGCCTCGGAGGGTCACTGGGGCAGTTACAGAACTCAACTGAAGCAGAGCGCAGAACTGCTATGTGAATCTTATCATTATTATTTCTGTGCTACCCAAGTGCTATTTTATTACAATTGTTATTCATGTTACCGTACCCTTCCAACGTTCAGCACAACACAAAGGCTACCGTCCACCGCTTGACGGCATTTTCTTTCAACACAAGAATTCATGCCTCCTTCCTGTGTTCTAACAGTAACTTGGTCTGGGGACAGTCATTTTCCCCTTCTGCTGTACGGATAACAGGAAGCACAGTCTGGAGGCCTAACTATCAGGAACCAAGCTCCGGCAAGCACAGACAACAGGTCCTCAGAGCCCGAGAGCTGCACACGACTCTGTTCTTCAGTGTCGCTGTCTCTGCTGGATCTTTACTTAATCTCCACAAACAACTGCTTTTCCCTACGAGCCGCCAAATCGAGCACGGCACATTTAACAAAAAAACGAACCTCTGAAAATCATGCACATCGAGAAGAAAAATCTAGTAAAACAACTAACAACTTCACTTAAATAGAAATGGGACTTAAGATGAACCACTCAAACGTGTCCCGGTTCTAGTCACTGTTGGCAGACAGCAGGACTGAGGACTCGCTCAGCCATTCCCGCGGCCAACAGTGAGTGTTTTAGGCTCCGTGCCTAAAAAGTGCGGCTACTTCCTTACAGCAGGGCGCCCTGGACAGAACAGCCATGGGAAAGACCAGACAGTCAGGGAAACCCTGAGTTACGGGAACACGGAGCCTGGAATTACAGTAAACGTAGATTTAATGAAACACTTACATTGAGAATATATCTCAAAATTTCATTTTGCAAACAAGACTTTAGGGATTAATTTGAAACACGTGCTGGCTGCTGCATTGCATGTAAGGGTGGGAATGACGCCAAGCAGGGGCAAACTGTGCCAGACCACAGATAAACTTGA